AGCGCGGCCCCTGCTGGGCGGCCGCGCCGAGACGCCGGCTGACCGCTGCGGAGAGGGACGGGGCACCGCCTCGCAGCCCCCACCGACGGCCGGAGCTCAGGAGCACTTCAGGAGGCTTTTTAAAGTATTCACCCCCCTGCACAGTTCAAAATAGACCAGCTCATTTTCCCCTCGGAGGGCGTGTGTGTGTTTGTTCCTGTTGGAACTGGGATTCTAGGTGTTGGGAGGTGGTGGCAGGCAGGTCTCCAAAACCCCAAGGTAGCAGCAAGGTCGTTTGTTCCCACGTTTACACCCCTTTGACACCCGTTTCTCAATGGCACAATACGTAAATAAAACCAAAGAGAGGGTCAGGCTGGTGGGACTAGTTTTAAACAGACGGTCTGATGGACTGTAAGGAAAAGAAATCCCATTTGTGAAGGACCTAGGCCTGCTGGGGCTGCCACCGGGGCTGAGCTAGTTTTCTGCTGGCTTGGTTGTGTCTTTTGAAATGTCCCAGCTGGAGTGATCCTCACCACCTGGAAAGTTAGAGGACGTTAGTGGAAACAAGCCTGCTGAATACAGAATGTCTTGGTTGGAAGGGACCTCCAGAAGTCTCACAGTCCAAATAAGCCCCTGGTCAAAGGTAGTAGAACTCAATTTGGCTGCTCAAAGAGGTGTCCAGTTGAGTCTTCAACTCGTCCAGCATAAGGATTTTGCAGCTTCTCCGAGCGACCCGCAGCGGCGGACCTGGGTTCGTGTTCCTCTTTCACCTGGGGCTGACTGCACTTCAGTTCTCCCATCTGTGATCCTGACGCAGGGCAGGAGGTGACGAGGCTGGTAAGGCCACTGAAATCTCCCATTAGAGACTCAGCTGCTGCATACGGAGGGATTGCACCTGCGATTGATGAAGCTCCTGTGATTAGAGCTGCTCATGTGAAGTGACAAGTGCTCCCATGTCACTAGATTATCTCAGGTAGCTTCCAGCCACACCGTCTGGCAGAACTTTAAATCTCTTCATCTCTGCATTTACATCAGTGGCACCAACTTCCTCTCATAACAGACGTGATCTGAAATAGAGTGACTCTTCTACTTCGCTTCCATTCCAGTTTTAAAGAAAAGTACTGTTGTGGTGTGAACCTTTATACATTTTCACGAGCCTTAGAACTCTGGAAGGGAGCAGTAAGCTCTAGCTTAAACAACGCACAGCAAAGGGAAACGGCAGGCAGGCTCTGGGTTAGTTCAGGGGAGGCAGCAGGGCATCTCTGAAGTAAATAAATATTAGAGAGCCTTTAACTTTAAATTTCGGTTCCATTCACATCACATGGAATATATACCTTGTAATGCCAGCCCTCCCTCACTAGGAATGCTAAAACTTAGAGTTAAATACTCATAAGAATAAAACTCCACCAACAGTTTCAGTAATTCAATAATTTATTCATCTAAAAAAGTGTGTAAAAGTATATAGCTCTCATCCACAAGGTATATATGAATGACATTTAAAATGGAGGTCTTTATTATTATTGTTTCTTTTTATCAAAGTCTTTTTTTAGTGTATTGTACCAGCGATATACTGTAGATTTAAAATGAACTTCACATTTTTTTTTTGTTTTCTTTCAAATTGTTGGCTATATATAAAAGAAGCTCACTGCAAAATGCTCAGAGGAAAAAAAAAAACAAACCAAAAAGAAATTCAGAACTCCCCAGAAATGTACAGCTTTTACATTTAAAAAAGGTTCTGAAATATACATACAAGCATGCTGGACATTCCCCACCCCCTCCCTCTCCCTTTAGCTCAAACAACTGTAATAATAATTCTGATTTAGGCATGAATTTCCAAAGTTAGAAATAAAAAAAAAAATAAAATAACTTTCTTCACTCTGTAGGAAAGCCAGGGCTTGTACATTTCAGATCAATTCAGTAAAAAACTCACAAGTAAAATAATGCATATTTAAGGGAAATATTATACAGAACTTTTCACACTGAAGTACATAAGATTTTTCTTTAAAATCTATTGCCATTCATTTATTTTGCACAAAAACGTATAAATATGTCACCAGCTTCTCTTAACTTAAAAAAATTAAATAAAAGACACCAGATGAAAACTACTCCTTGCTGCCCTTTTTTTATTTTTAATTTTTGCTTAGAACCAGGTTTCTGGGGAAGAAACGCCCCTGGATAAAAACGGCCCATTTAAAAAGAATAAACAAAATAATAATCCAAAGTTCAGATGAATTCTGGGAACAAATAACCCCCAAATGGTAAAAGATTACAAATGTCTACTTTACATTTTTTCCTCCCCAAGTTAAATTTTTTTATACAAGTTTACAATCTTCATCTTTTTATGCTCTTCAAAAGGCCTTGAGAATTTTCTTTTCTGATTAAGAAAAAATAGTACTGCAATATTTTTAAAGTCAATTTTACACTGTACACGTTAGATACAAATGGTTTGATATCAGATTTTTTTTTAACCTATACATTGCAAAGAGGATACCCACATGGGAGGTTTGGTGCAGAGAATGAAATAAGCCATTTACAGGTTACTTCTCTGACTTCACCTTCTCATTACACAAGCAATTTTTTTTTTATTATTTTATATAATTTGTTTTAAATGTTACATTATCTCAAGAAAAATACTTTTTAAAATCATAGAATTTCATTTTTTTTAACCAGAACATGAAAGTCTTTTGGAAGAACTTCAAAATTTGTAGTTTTTTCTCCACAGATAGATAACTAGGTCACACAGCCTGATCAAAGTGCCCGACCCCTCACGTAAGGCAGTCCATGCCTGCTGCACAGTGCAACAACAAACATTAGAAAATGGAGTTTAAATATAAACCCCTTGAAGCCTGGAATGAAGGAGTCATAAAAATACTTCAATTAGCCATTAACCTTTAAAATGGCAATCATTTTACTAAACAAAGTAACTTTTCCACCACAGTGGTATAACTTCAAGTACTAATTTAATGATATAATTTTTAAAAATTATTTCTTTGAAATAATATTCCTATAGTCAGAAAAAATACACCAGATTTGTAACTGATTTAGTGTAAACAAAAACCATATTTTTGGATATGTACATGGACGAGTCTGCCCAGAATCAAAGGGCGACTTGGGTTTCAGTAAATACTTTTCTAGCATCGCTAAATTTACTGGAAATATATTTCAATCATAGCTCTACAATAGATTAATTTACCACTTTCCATTTGCCCTTACATTGGGCTTTAAAGTATTTTTCCTCCTTACCTCTCACCCAACTCTCCCTCCCTTAGGTAGTGTTATCCTTCATTAAACACTGGCCATGTCTTGCTTTAACCAGGCTAAACGCAGGTGAGAATTCCGTAAAACACAAGGATATCCTTACCAGAACACGCTTCCCTTCCCAGCTGGGACTTTGATTGTTAATAGCTTCACGTTTGATTTCTAGGTCAGAAGAGTGAGAGGTATGTAGATAAATAACCCTACAGTGGAACGGAGCTGGATTTTTAAGATATTCTACTGTTCCTGGTCCTTTATAATTTAATCCCTCCCCTCCCCAAACCTAAAAATAAATAAAGTATCTCCAGACCATTCATATCTACATGGACAGGTAACAAATGCATGCATTCATCCCAATCCACTCTGACAGGAACTCCAGGCAGACAGAAAACTCCAATATTTATACGAGACTACAACTGCGTTGGTTTGTTGTTTTGTTTGTTGTGGGTTTGTTTTTTTTTTTTTTCTCCTGCAAAGTCCCCGTTTATGATGAACAAACAACAAAGCAAGTTTTGGACAACCCAAACTGGTCACTACAAGGTATTTTTACTTGCAGGGCAGAAACTGCTCTTGGTTGTTTACCAGAGTTCCTAAAGCAAAAAGATCCTGTAGTCTTCCTTAAAAAAATAAAATATTAAAAAAAAATAATAATCACACTGACCAGTAGTTACTGGGCCACCAAACTAACACTGGCTTGAGGTTACTCTGTGTTCACTGTTCTTGGATGTTCCCAGATTTTGGACTGAAGCTGCCAGAGATGTTAATGGGTAGTTTAGTTTTGAACACTGCAGAATTCACATGTGCTTTTGGAGGAACAGAAGCACAGCACAGGACTGGTCTGAAGAGAAGCAGAATTGCGATCTTTGCAGACTGTGGCACGTTTCTCAAGTCGAGGGGAGAATAAGCCAGAAGAACAAGTGCTTTTCTATCTATTAAAGTATATTCATGATGGCATTGTACAACTGAGTGAGCACCACGAAGTGGACAGGAAGGCAGGAGCTGCGATCCTGAGTGGCAGGGTTACACGTAAGCCAGGACAGTGCATTGTACTGCTCCAAAACGAACCTGCCGAAGAGAAAGGCAGAGCAATGAAACTGGAAGTGTTTACTCCTCTCCCTTCCTGTCTTTTCTAGAAGATTTACTTAAGCTTATCTCTGGTTTCTCCTGGAGACACGAAGTCACGAGGACTGCCTGGTGGTGTAAACACTGCTGGTGGTGGCAAGGTAGGAAACTCACTGAAAAGGCGGGGAGGGAAGCACGAATTCTTAGTTTTAGTACATTTGAACTCGAACCAAGCGATCCGAATGTAGGCCCTCCCCAGTACCCAGCAGAGACTGTGGAATCGCAGGGGTTCAAACACCACTGCACGCGAAGCCTCATGTCTAAGGACAGAGGTTCCACAGCCTCTCTGGGCAACCTGTGCCAGTATTTGATCACACCTTTTGTGTGACGCTGTAGCCGATGAGAATTTCTCCTGTTGTAACTTGCACCTGTTGTGCCTCGTCCTTCCCCCTGTGCACGCAGCGTCCTTTTACACAGAACAAAGACAGAGCACCCCCGGACAGCTGTGACAGCTCAGTCCTCTCGGAGGACGCAAAGTCAGATCTTCTAGAATAACACATACACCACCAAGTTCCTTAGATTAGATTATTCTCTCTGCTGATACTCTCTACTTGGTGAAATGCACGTGTTTGTTCACTGGTGTGTTCCCCCCTGTAGGCTGCCGCATAAACCAGATCTTTTTTCAGTCCCCAACAGGTGGGATGGAGGCAAACAGTTCTCTAGTTATCTTAAGTGATATGATACAGAACCCTGTATTAATTCAGGAGGAATGTCTCCTTTATATCCCACTTTCTAAGAGACTGGCATCAGAAGAGTAATTTTATCTCCTTTGATAAATCGCTTCGGTTTGGCAGGTAAAAATAACTACTGACACGCTGCAGATTAGACCAGCAGCTAAACAGAACAATCTTTGGGAGGCAAACAAGGTGTCGAGGTGGTAAGGCAAAGCTGTTTCTAACTTTCCTTTACATAGTTATGTGTAGTTATATGGAAAACTGATGAAGTAACCCTCAAAGTCCTGCTCTTTGGTGGTGGAGGTGGCAGCTCTAGTAAGAGTTGCCCACTGCCCCGAGGGCACAGGAGAGTTATAAGCTGTTGGTAAAGACAGGAAATAATTTTGCCAGGTTGAAGAGAAAAGATCCCTCTGAAATTTCAGAGCTTAGTCCCCAGAGCCTTAGAGAGGAAATGCAAAGACAAAAGGCGTTACCTCAAGACATCTGATGTAGTTTTAGAGTCAAGGGGGTGAGGAACTCGCTGAGAATTTCTGGCAGGTAGAAGCTCATCAGTCTGCGCTACAGAGATATGGTGATGTAAAGAGGCCTGTGTAAAGGAAAAAAGCACAAATTAACCCTCATACAGCAGGTACCTCTGAAGATACACAGGGAACAAACACACTCTGAATTATCACAGGACAGCACGGAAAGCTGGTACTCCTGTGTTGAACCCACCATGACCATGCGTATTTCCAAGCTCCATAACGATCACATTTTTGAATCAACTGACCGTTCTCTCTCTGGAATCCAGGATCTTTAACAAAAGAATGCTGCACTCTGTTAATGTTAGCCAGGGAAGAGGAGATGAGGGGAAAGACTTGGATGTGCCAGTGGTTCTGTTGGTATTTTGGTAACAAACCATCCTGAGTCTTCAAACTCTCCCAGGAGGAGACCATCACAGAGCACCACATCGCAGCGGGGTGTCCAACCAGAGCAGCTGGTGCAGCCTTTGGCCTGCTCCCTCTGTCTGTCTCATCCTTCTTCTGGAGCAAGGCTTGTGCATTAGTTTATACAGGAGTAGGAAAGGGGTTTCATACTGATCATGTGCTGGGGGCAGAGCAACCACGTAAGCCTTTCAAGTGGGTAGCCTAATACGCCGCAGAGCCTGCCGAGGCAAAACCTCTCATTTATACTCCTCCAATTACGGCACGCACATTAGAGGTGAAATACTTTAGCTCAAAAAATCCTTAATCCAAATCAGACAAAGATGACTTGAATCCGTATGCCTCACATGCCATACAAGCTTCCTAATTGCAGCGCTGTGCAGCAAAAAGGAGACAGCACCCCCTGCTCACTGAATGGTGTGCAAGTTACTGCATGAATTCAGCCCCTTGCTTTTATTAAACGTTGTCCAAACCAAAACAGTATGTTCCAAGTCCAATTAAACATTTAATTCAGCCTAGATCTGAGAGAGCAATTGTGTTGGGCTGGGGGGGTGGGGTAGGGAAGGGTGGTGGCTCCTTCTCTCTAGTACAAATCTAGTATAAGCTTACGGAAGGAATTCATCAAGTTGCCTGGAGCTCTGCTGACTATGTTTTTGCTGCTGGAAATGAAACATAGTCTTTGGATTACTCATTCACAAAAAAAAAAAAAAAAAAAAAGGTAGTTTTAAGTTTAGCATAAAACTTCATCTGGAGCTCCAAAACCATGGTGGTTCATTTTTCATATAATTTTGAGATCTCCATTCTGTCAGCTCAAAGACAAGCACATACTTCAGGGAAACCTGTCCCTGAGGAGTGCAGAGTGTAAGGGACAAGGTTCAGTACTTTGCTGGTGGAGGAGCTACACTGAATACAGAGCCTGCCATGCTGACTGCAAGTCACTGTTAACATCAGTCCTAAAAGTGCTTATTTTGCATGAGAGAATTGAGAAATACTGAACACCTTTACTCTGGTAACTGCCTGACAGACATGGATTAGGGAACTTATTTGAGACACTTGCAAAAACATTTAGTATTCGTTAATTAAGCTCAGAATGAATAAAGTAAGTGGTACTATCTTGATTAGTCTATATGTTGTTTGCTCGAGTAGTTATGTGACGCTATTCAAGGCAGATTTTTCACCTTTCCATGCTCGCTAGTTCCCGTTTTTTCGATTTATTCAAATAAGAAGCTGCACGACGCTACAGGGATCAGCGAGTCTCTAGCAGTTGAACCCATTCTGCTGCGTACGTCAGGCAATTCTTGCCATTCTGGAATGGAAGGTACCGGGTTCACTCTGCCGCTACAGCCTCCGCTGCTCCACTTTTACAAGCAGGGAACAGAGTGGGCAGTGAATGCTCCAGCTGGAGGTGCTACGCCTCTCTCTAACTTTCAATCTACGTGTCACAACTGGATTATGGCAGAACAGAAGGTATGTCCCTCCTGTCTTAGGCTGACTAAAAATGAGAACGGGGACACGTCTCTAATGCCAGATACAGCTTTGATGATTCTGTATTCAGAAGCTGCTGAACTATTCCGTTTTCAGGTAAGGGCCTTAGGAACGGAGAATTAAGCTTTACCAGCCAGCTATCTGAAGCAAACTTAAACCTAAAATTGCATTTCTGTTCCCAGTACTGTCACAGTTGTGGTAACATGCAAAGCCACATTTTCAAAGAAAATTCACAGGATACAAATAGAATTTGTCTTCTCCTCCTTCCCCTGTGAAAGGATACCAAGACAGACCTTCAGGAAGAGGGGACACTGGTTTTGTGCCTGAGGACAGGACGACCAGAACCACTGCGGGAGATTCTCAGCTTTGGCAGTCGACACGAAGTATCCAAGAGCAAGAGGTTGCTGCTTCAGTTCTTCAGGGGCTTCTCTGGACAGGAGACGTTCCCCTTGGCTCTGAAAGAAGAGTGGAGAAGGCACGTTCATGGTTCTATGTCATTACATCCCACTCCAATAGCATTAATTTTGTTTACTAAATACTCAGTATTTCATCCAGTTCTGTCTTGCTACAATGAGCTATCCTGTAGTCATGCATGAATCTTCAGCAAAGTTGTCTAATCCCCTCCTTTTTCCCCTGTAGTTGGGTTCTCCAGGCTTACATTCCAGAATCACGGGAAGTTCCCAACCAGCCACATCAGCCTCCTAAAGTGACCCGAGTACACCTGGAATTTGGAGCTACAGAGTAACTTAGCGGTGCAGGGCTGTGGCTGCGGATCTGAACAGCCTCCTGTGTGCGTGCAGAGCGCAGACCAGCCTGGAATTCAACTTCCTAAAGCCCCACAGCCTCTTCCTACACGTGCCAAACCCAGCAGGCTGCAACTGCAGATCTTGCTGACCTCAGCCGGTGGAAGGACGCGTTACACACTCAAATACAGAAGAACAGAGAGTTTTTGCATCTTCCCAAGTTTGGTTCCCTTTGCTTTTTCAGTTAGTCACACTGACAGCTTCGGCAGAAAGTGGCACGCTCGCTATTCCTTGCTATGGGCACCTGGACAGAAGATGCTGTGCTTTGTTTCTAGTTGTACTGCCGCGTGGGAGAAGTGTGAGGAAAGGAAACAGCTGTCCTGCTTTTCAATTTATATCACTTATTTATTTGTATACTGTGTTTTTGCAGTATTAGTTATTCATATTTTTATATGTGGACCAAAGAGTTATTTGGAGAGGAGAGAGTTAAATAAGAAACCATCTGTAAAACTGATTTCATGAGACTTTGGGTGGCTGCCTGTCAGCGTGTACCTTTGTGATTTTATTTCGGTAGAGTAAGACCTAGATGAACCTTCCACACCCGAGGCTGGGTGGACAGGAACGCTTGGTGTGAGCTTGCTTACCCCATCCCAAGTGTGTGTACGCACACATGCCCTCATCGGTCGTGAACCGCATTACCAAACCTAGAAGGGGCTCCCTAGGTATCAGAAAGGGTGACTGCCATTCCATTCTAGAGTGCATTCCCATTTTAAGTGCCTTCTTTTTTGTTGTTGTTGTTGGAAACACCCTGTCCTGTTTTGCTTTTACTTTTCTTTCATAGAGGAAAACCACAAAAGATGCCTGCGCAGTATTTCAGCTTGTAACTCATCCCAGAAGAGCTGGGATAGCAGTTCATTAAATCCATAAACATCTTTTCAATCCATAGGTTAAAAAAAAGAGAAAAGATTCCACTGCACAGAAATCAGCTTAATCACAAAGCCTTCGCTGCTAGTCCTTCAAGCAGGTCTTTCTCCAACAGTAATATCTTGATCAGGAATCAAAGGAAGTTAAACACTCCATAAAGCTTGGAGAAGGCTGCAGCTCACCTGGCCGTGGGCACTCAGAAAACCTTGAAACTGGCTGTTGAGCAATCAGGACTTACACTGCTGAGCTGCAGCAATCAATTACGGGTTACATGGACGAAGGCTTGACCTTCCCTGACCCACAAGGTAATGATCACACGCTGTTGCTTTTTTAAAACCAAAAATTACACATCAATTACTAGGCCCTTGTTAATGGTTAAACTGAATTACTATGACAGGTTCACCGAGCAATGGCTTGTCCAGGTCTCCAAGCGCTTTGGTCATTAACCTTTTAGTGCTGTTCTTAAGCCACTTGGATGGAGTTCCAGTGAGAACGAGTTTTGTGAACGCGTTTCTAAAAGTGGTGCAGAACAGAGGTTGTTCAACGGACTAAATAAGAGAGGGGCATTGTAACGAGCGATGAATTGTGATTTATGGCTGGAGGGTTTAGTAACAGAATTAAAAACTGTCATTTGCCCACAAACCAGTTTGCTACAACCAAGCGACAGGACCGCACAATTATTTAGCCTTTGAAAAGGGGGTTGGCGTGTTGACAGAAGGTAGGGGGGCTGTGAACTGAGATCACAGCAGACAGCATCAGCAGTGTTGTGGCCGACCCAGAAGACATTTTTCACTCACAGACTGTACGAAGCTGACCACTGCAGCATTTTGGCAGAGGCTGCAAGGAAAATACAGGCAGGACTCTTTCCTTCCAGCTGGCAAAGCCAACAGCACTTAGTCAGTCATTTTCAGGGAGCGAGAAGTCTTTTCTTAAGATACCTGATTTACATTTAGAAAAACGCAGAGCTTTGTTACAGAGGCTGTACATGTACCTCCTCTAACCTCCTGTTCTGTACTTCCTTTCAGTCTAGATTTACGGCTTCTCTGGAGACTGTTTAAAACCACCAGTGATAGTCACAGACCCAGATTTAGTTACTTGAATTACTACAGATCACTAAACCAGCACTTTCAAATGCATGGGGTTATCTGTTTCTTGTATAAAAGTTAGCCTGTTTCTTTAATAAAATACTGTATTATTCAGTAAAGTAATACGCTACTGCTTTAAACGTACTATTTCTAGAATAAAACTTCTCCACAGGAAATTATGAAGCATCAAACTTCTACATACTTGTGATGGAAACCATTTTAGGAGTACAGCTAAGTCTCTTACACAATCAAATGTACAGGTAAAAGAGTTCCACCAAACATGATCCAAATTATGCTAGAGCCAATTCAAAAAATACCTCGAATTACCAAAATAATTTGCATTTTAAGTAATCACCGGTGTTGGAACCAACTTTATAAAAGCCACTTCAAACAACAGTAACTTCCAAACACTATGTGCTCTGGGCTAATTTTACAGCATTTGCATAAACATCCAGCACCTGCGGAGTTTCCAAGGGCAGGGTTTTTTTATTAGGAGAATTATCTCCCTTCTGCCTCCCCTAGAAATTCAGGTGAACAGCGCTGTCGTATCTCCCTGTCTCTCAAAGACTTGTCACTCTGTGCCAGGGACATTCCAATACGATTTTCCAGACATAAATGGAGGAGTACAGGGTCACTAGATATGGCTCTGCCACACGAAATTAAAGCTTCTCCCTCCTCCTTCTCTCTTCCTCTCAATTATCTTGTACACTAACAATTAACTTCAGAGATGTAAATAGTCAAGGCAGAGGCATCGTCTACAAAGTCATTTAACCAGCATCTTCAATTTTAACATTATTTTCTGCTTGCCAATTATGCTTGAGACTCTACAGGGAAAAAAATGTTTTGTTGGAGGATCTGGGTCTTTTTTGTGTTTTAAGTAATGTATGTCCTGAAGTGCTGCAGCCTTACCCTGCTATGCTGGAAGTGAGATCCCACTCCAATGCCAGAAGGCGATCCAGGGGAAGGAACTGGGGAGGAATTTGGTGAAGAGTGAAGATTCCCTGTTATTAAGATCCTAATGTCATTGTCCATGTCATCTGGGAATGGGAGGTCAAACATGTCATCTGAAAAGGAAAAGACAGGAAAATAATTTCCAATGTGCTGTACTCATTTTTGTCAAGAAGTTTTTGTAATTTATTACCATCCCCTTTAATTTATTATCACTTTTTTTTTTTACATACTCTTGAGAGATGAAAGCAGAGATAAACACTCTACTGTTTAATCCTTCTTAGTACCTTTGACCGCGACCGCAGACTTGAAAGGCGAAGTTGGCAGACATCGATTAGAACCATGAATTTTAACAATGGTCATAGAGTGAACAAAAAATCCCGTCATACCAGCTTAATGAAAATCCACACTGAACATTGGAACAGAAAAAATGGCACCGCTCTGCAGCCGGTCACAGAATCCATTAACAAAATACTTGAAATAGCTGAAACGAACCTACGCGCGTTACCCGCGGCAGGTGCTGCTCTGCAGGCGGCTCGGGCCGCGCACCAGCGCTTCGGCGCGTTGGCTCAGAACACGCCAGGAGCAGCCCTGGGCGCGTCAAGGGAAGCGCTCACCGGACCAGCAGGGGAGCAAGGCCTGCTCCACACTCAGGAGGGCACTTCCACGATGATGTCAAACACCGCCCCAGGACTCCCTACAATGCAGCTGGTAACGTTTTACCTTCATCTCAGAAACCACGTGCAGTTGTATTATCGGCACTTGCTGCGGTAGTTTGGGTTATGTTAATACATGGGAAGGGTGTAAAGATACAGTGAAAATGTGTTTTGTGTTCCTACTGTCCATTACTCAGTGATTTGCCACGCAGGTTACGATACCACGAGGACTTTATGTGATGGGAAGCGAAGGCATTACAAAACGCAGAGCAAAAAATTACCCGTGTCACAATACGGCTCATAGGGTTTTTTCCTTATCCAGATTTCTCAGCAGGCAAAAGCATTTAAACAGGATGAGGTCATTTAAAGTACATTTTAGGGCACAGAAAGGGACAGTGGGGGCTGTCTGAATTAACTTGATTAATTAGAACTGCAGCCAAACTTACACTAAGACATACGGACCCCTAAATAAGAGTCATGTGTTTCCACATATTATAATAAATAATTTCTCTTGAAAAAGAAGAATTCACTCCGCCTGAAAATGGAAAAGGGGGTGTGTGCCTTGAACTAACTTCACCTGAAGTCTGAGCTGAAATAGGCAGGTGGTTGTTTTTCTTCATCTTCTGAAGAGAAACACTGGATTGCAAGAGCAATGAATTAACTGAAGTTTATTAACTTCTGTCCTACAACCTCAGTAAACAAAACAGAACTAATGTCATGCTCTGCTTAGCCCCCAAAGCATAAATGAGATGGCTAATAGCATAGGAAGCAGTTTAATCATTAAGTAGAATAGAGTTAAGAAAATTAAATTTAACACCATTTTGGAAAACGCCAGTTCTTGTACCTGATTCTAATTAGCATCTGAAGCGCTAAAGGGCAGGTTAATGCAGGTTAAATATTTGTCAGCACAGCATTCAGTCAGGATTCTGGGGCCTCGAGAGGACAGCTGCTCAGGTATTAAGAGGGGTAACTTCCCTTCTGTGAGGCCCACAAATTCCAGGAGGGACAGATCAAAGCAGACTCTTTCATTAAAAATAGCGGGCCTTTCTTCCTCTCCGTACACTAACTCCCCTCTTCATAAAATACTTCTGTTGTAAATGTTTGTAGTTACTCTTGGCTTAAATTATTTTACAATAATTTTTCAGGATTTATGGCAAAACAGTTAGGAAAATACTTATTTGATATAAAGCATTGACCAGAGTCTTCCTGACACAAACTATGGGGTTAAATACACTCGAAAAAGCACGCTGCAACCGTTGAGAATTCTCAGGTTGGTCTATTTTGCCTACTTGAAAGGAAGATTAAAATTCTAAACCAAGTACCTCCTTCCTCCCAAGCTCTGTACACAACGGGGCATGAAGCAAACCACTACTCTAACGAACAAGCTGGCCTGATCAAGTCCCGACAACAAGAAAAAGCATTTTACAGTCTGTGCCATTTCACCTATCGACTGGTCCATACCAGTTTTGGAATAAATCAGCACGATTATCTGAAAATAGACTTCAGAAAACACATAGTATATTACCTAGTGACTATAAAGTACAGGGATGTTCTCTTTAAATGAAATTTGGGTGGTATGGGGACCGTGGGAGACCACTGCTCTGCTCAGGTTTTTTATTCGTGACTGGTCCAGCTCTGCCGAGGTTCTGAACAGCCACTGAGCGCTGGCCTCTCCTCCTGCACCAGACCCGTGCCCACTCACCATTAGTAGGGCTGAATCCATCCTCGTTGGGGTAATTTGCTGGTGCTACCTGGATCGTAGCAGAGGTTGGGAAAACCAGGATGTGCGTACAGGAGGCATCCTGAGGGGTATTCAGCTGCGATGACTGCAGATTCAGCGCAGTGCTCCGGCCAAACACTGACCCCATCGTGACAGCATCTTCCAGAACAGAAGCAATGGCAGAGACATTAATTTGCAGCATCTTCAAAATACACTCCATTACAGTTCTGCGCACCTAATCTGCGTTTGCAAGCTAATAGACGTGTTTGAAGGTTCTTATTTTAAAAAGACTAAACTACTAGAAGAGCTTGAAACTAAGGTCACAAGTTGTATAGATAACGTGTAGCTATGTGAACTCCCCTACGATGCCCCACCTTTCATTCTGCTCCCCCTTAATTGAAGATTTACTTGCTAAATGAGCAAGTTAAATTTACTTTTGACACCCAGGTCTGTAGAGTTATGAACTTCCATTGACGTGAAAAAAGCATAACTTGCCATCTATTTTCTCACGTCACAAAATCTCTGTTTTGAAAATTATTCAACTTGATGAGCCATTTTTCAGCTCATTTAATTCCATGTAGTAATCTTTTATTTCTAAACTTAATAAAAGAGTCATTTGTCACCATGTGCAGTAAAAGCAGGTGCTTACATTAACACAAGAAACAAGTGAAGGGAACCTCAAAATTTCGTTTTATTTCAACTTAACTCCCTGGACTGCTGCTTTTAATAGAACTCTAAGTAACTTCAGCATATGAAAAGGCAAGTGGGTTTATCCTTTCTCCCATTTACACAGACTCTGACTCTTTCACACTGTAGACTCTTTCAGCGCCTGCAGTCCTCTTGCAGGAGGGCGTCTACACCATCCCATTTCAGCTGCTGAGCACTGTGGCCTCCCCGAGGAAAAGGTCACCAGTTTGAGTGCATACAGTCATCTTTCCCCCCAGGAGCCTCCTCTCCCAGTGTAGCATCTCTTGATGGTATCTCTGGGAATTCTGCTGGCTCAGCCTGTTTTCCACCACACTTAGCCATGCTAGTCAAGGTGGTCTGGGACTCAAACTGAATGTGCTGATGTGGCAAGCGTGATAAAAGAAAAGTGTCACTGGCATTTAAATAGCTGGATAAAATTTACCTGGCATCACAACAAACGACCCCTGTGGCTCCATGGCAACTAAGCAGGCACTGAGGATAGAAGGGGAGTCTGCTGATGAGATGCCACACATGCGGCACACCTCCTTTAGCTGTTTGCTGATTGTCTGCAGGGAACATTCCCCAAGGAGGATACTCCAGTCTGAAACGAATGAACATTACGATAGAAGAGAAGAACAGAGTTCTGAAACAGCCAGCAGTTACTTGAGAACAGCAGAACATTAACCGCGCGGTGCACTTCTGTAACACTGCTCTGTTCTGGACTGCCTCCCTGTGCAAACACGGGGTATGGCTCTGCAAAGCGGGTGTGCGAGCGGCTCCTGCGGAGCGCTTCGCTCTGTGCGGCTCGTTGGTTTTCCCCTGAGCTACCTGCATTCCTCTGACACTGACAAATCACTGAAGATGATGTGTTTAAGAACGAGGCTTGCGTTCTGCCTGTGAGGTAGAGGCGGTACTTACCTGACGTGACATGGGGCAACATATAAGCATTCTTTTTTTAAGATTCTTTAATTATTTTTTTATTGTTTATTTACATATGAATCTTTTCCTGAAACACACAGATTCTTTTTTTTTTCAAAAAGAACACCTGTTTCCATCTAACATGCTGCATAACTGGAATACTTGGAACGTAAGCAGAGATATGAATTCACACACTCAACCATCAGAGAAATTTTGTTAAACTTTGTTATGAATAAAATACACTAAATAAAGCAGATTTCAGCAGAGGTGCAGATACACAAGTTCAAGAAACCCCATTTAGCCATTTAAATGACATTACGTGGCCAAACAGAGGAAGGGAGTTGCTGATTAAATTCCTAATCTGTTTTCCTGCCTTCGTTCCATTTAACTCCTGGGTGTGATGGACACCAAATTCCCCTGACAGGGCAGGCAACACCTCTTCTTCCCTGCACGTACTGCATGGACAAGGCATTTCATTACTGCTTTCCCCCCCCGAGAGTATTTCTTTCTGCTTTCAGACTGAATTGTTATTTATTGTGCGCTGTTTTTACGTTTTTTCCCCATCTTGTGAAATACAGAATCTCTTAAAATAAGCTAGCCAGAGGAATTCATGGTTCCTTCAGTTATTAAAGTAAAAGGACAAACTCATGAAATATCTTGATTCTCTGATTTATCTGCATGTTCCAACTCAGGAGATGGGCGAAGACTGAGAGCACCCTCTCAGAACCCCATTGTCTTCCAGCCAGTCACCAAACAAACCCTGAAGCGTGGCCACAGCCGTCAGAAGGGGAAGCAAAGTTGCCCACTGCGTGTATTTAAATTCGTGAGGGGAATCACTGCCGAAGTGCAGTCCCTGCCCTTGTTGGATTAAGACACCTATACCTAGAACACTCCAGAGTGCCCTTTGAGTGCTCACACGGCTGTTAGAATGATAAATCTTGGGAACTCTTTGCAGGCTGCAGAGTGCCTTATCGCTGGTTCACGCCGACTCACAGTTTGTAAATCACAGAAAAAAAAAAAAAATTGATTTTTTTTTTTGTTCGGTAACTTTTTTGCCCGAGTTTTTTGTATGTTTAGTTGATGTTTAAGTTTAGGAATCAGCATTGAAATCTGTTTCTATTTCCGTGACAGGAAAACTACTGTTCAGATCTTTTTCCAATGTGACGAAACCCATGGCTTCTGCTTGGAAGTACGCTGGGCAGAGAGCAGTTAATCTACACAACGTCTGCAAGACAGGAGGGAGGAACGTCGAACCCAGGGCACAAACAAGCAAACTGTTTATGCAAACCAACCCAAAAATCCAGTGCCAGGGTAGGATGATTGCTCTCAGTTTTCTGGTGTTAAAGGCCCACGCGTGACCCGCTCTGCACATCCCTCTGCCTTGCACACGAAGGCCGTGACTTCGTCCCAAACCCACAGGCAGCGCCAGCACTGACAGCCCCTACCTTTTAACTCCCCGTGGCCCAGGCGGCCGAGCCGCCCGATCACAACTCTCCAAGGCAGCGATGTCATCTGGACAATGCCAATGCACCATTCCCACAGCTTCTGCAGACCGATCTTACGTGCAGACAACTTGCTCCTCCTTGACCTGGAAGTTAAGGAAGAAAAAGAAAAAAAAAAAAAAGTAAGAACCCAACCGAGGACAAACGCTTACCGGCCTACAGGAGTTGCTGCAGTTCTGGGGAGTGCCTAACCCACCCTTTACTAACAAGAAGCAGAAAAAGCACGTGTCTGCTTTCAGTACTGTTACTGCAGCGACAGGCAGGAGGTGTCAATACGCTGAGCAGCACAGCAGCTGTTCTTGAAGGTAAGACTCGTAGGCCGCGTTTGCAGAACAAGTGTAACGCAGTGACTTTTGTCCTCTGCAGTTTAAGAGTTATAAAAGTGCCAACCCAGATGTTACCACTGTAACACGAAAAAAAGGAAACATGATTAGCAGGGATCTGAAAGGAGCTGCTGAGAGCGAGGGACGACAACTATAGACCTAGACATAGCAGAAAATGTAAAGGTTTCTACCTGTTTGGTAAATCAATATTAACTATGCAGGTTTCCAGCAATTCACCATGAAGGTCAGTGCAGGATGCCAGAAGCCAACGCTGATCGTGAGACAAACAATATCCAACAAAAAGCACGTTGTATTTCTGACTGGCCTCTCCAAATGTTTCTCCCAGCTCTGTCTGTTTGTCTTTGATGGGTGCCAGTATGAAAGGAGGCGAGTACAGCTGGATTGGGCTGGGCCTCTGCAAGAAAGTCAACACAATCATCAGCACGTGTATCTCAAACTACTTAATGCAAGAAACACACAAACACGGATTGGCAGCGAGTACAGAAAAACGCAAGTTTGAAACAGTAAGTTCAAGGCATTCATAGTCGAGGGGGGGGGAAAAATCCTGCTAGTTAAATCTGATGCACTTCCAACCTTTTTTTAATTTTTTTTTTTTGATATACAGGGCAACTAAGGTATGAAAACAGCCTTTGGACAGCAGGGTACCAGTCTCTGAAACAGTCGGGAGTTTAAACCTGTTATTCTGTATATCCCTTTGCTAACATTGACGCTGTCTGCTCTCCCTTGTCCGTTCACATACCACCTACAGAACAATGGGCAGCAGGATCTCACGTGAGGTACCGAGGACTCCAACTGAGGAACCGCTCCGGTAGAGCTCAGACTTGATGCACGGTTTTCTATCCAGGCACCAGGCATAACACACTGGCATGAACATCGGGCACGATGTCAGAAATTAACTTTAAGTCTTACAGCTCACGGTTTAACGTCAGAAATACGTTCATCTTCAAATCAAACTGAACTAATTCATCAGAGCTGCTGTACATGTGATAGTGATTCTCTTTAGGAAACAAACTGCCCCTCATCCCTCAGATAACCAACCTGTAAATGGCTATAAGAACTCAAGGCCATTCAACACCATTTAACGATAAGCAGAAGCAAATTAGGATTGTAATTAATACATGTGCAGTCCTCCTGCACAGCCTGACAGTGATAAGTTATTAAATGTCTTTTTTTTTTTTTTTTTAAAAAAAGGCGGTACAATCCCAGGAGGCTGAGACTGGAAGGATCTCTGATCCCCTAAGGCCAGCCCTCCTGCTCACACGGTCAGCTACAGCGGGTTGCCCAGGTATCTGCATCACCAGACACAGAGATGCTGGATGTCGTCCCCACCGACGATGCCCAGCCTGCCTGGGCGACTAGGTCCAGTGTTCAATCACCCCTGCAGTAAAAATGTTCTCTTGTGTTTTCTCCTTCAAACAGCTCTCGTATTCAATTCGTGCCCGCTGCCTCTCGTCCCGTCACTGGAAGCGCCTGGGTCCATCTTCTCTCCCCCCTCCCAGCAGGTATCGATACACGCTTATCGGAGCCCTCCGGGCTGGACAACTGCAGCGCCCTCGTGCCTCCTCAGCTGTCAGACGCTCCCGCCCCTTCGCCATCTTCGAGCCCTTTGCTGGACGTGCTCCGGTGTGCCCGAGGAGCCCAGAACCAGACAGGGTATGGCGCCGGTGAGGCCTCACCAGTGCTGAGGAGAGGAGAACGATCACCTCCCGCGCTCTCCTGTCAGCACCCTTCCTAACGCAGCCCTGCCTGCGCTTGGCTTTCCTGGCTGCAAGGGCGCGTGGCCGGCTCACGTTCCTCTCGTCCAACAGGACTGCTGGCTCTTTGGCTGCAAAGCTGCTTTCCAGACGGTCGGCCCCAAACCCATCTTTGCTTTACAACTCCCCTCTAAAGAAAAACCATGATGGGCCTGACCAGCCATGCTCAATAATTTAGAAGTTGTCAGGGTATTTTCTTAATTTTTCAGGCAAAGTTTGGAAGTCTGCAGCGCAGACTGACCACAAACACATGTAAAATGGCAAAAGTAGAGATCTGATTGATTAAGCTAAATGCAAGCTGCTCAGGAAAACATTTGCCCCTTTTTTTGGTGTCCGTTGTAACTTCAGGAAATTAAACATGAAATGCAAAGTGCAAGTTAATCAGCTTAGAGGAAAAGTAAGTTATGGTGTTTTCTTAAGAGACATTTGGGGGAGTCGCATTTCGGCTCATGTCGCTTTCTAGAAGTAGCACCCTGGCAGCAGTGCAGGAACATTAATTAAAGGGAGGGAGATGCTTGCAGGGGTCTTGCAAGTTTATTGCTCTTCCCCTTACACCTAAATAGCTTGAAGTATGACTGTTGTAACTTGCTGCAAAACCCAT